ATTGATCCACTCGAGCGACCCGATTTTGAAAAACTTTTTCCCCTTCAAAATTTTGGAACGTACTTTACATGAAACTTCCATACATTTTCAAAACTTTCCTCAAAAACCGCTCAAATATTTTTCTTAGCATTTTCTTTGTAAATAAATGTTTTAGTACAAGATAAAAATTCATTGCATTGTTTTCTTCACAGTAAATAAATAAGTTAACTTAAGAGATTATATTCTTATCTCAGTACAAGTACATGTCGCACATCAAGTAAAAGATAGTAGAAAAAATTTCATTCATTGGCATAATGTTTTGTTGGGACTGGTAATTTTCTAATTATTTGCTCTTCAAGAGAACATCTGACCTCTCTCTATCTCTGAAACTCCCTGAAATCATGCACTAGAGAATGTGTGTCCATCTGATTAGTGACAAGGTTACTGAAATAACACCATATCCTATTGTTCTAGCTTCCTATCCTGCAGGCTTAGGTGGAATTTTTTTACCATATTTGAACTGTTTTTGGTACAAAACATTGTATACCTCCTCATCACCTGCACCAATGGTGATGCAATATATCACATACTTTCTCCTATTATTTGAAATAATTACGTAAAGTAACAATTATGTAGAGTTATTATTCGACACAACTGTTATTTTACACCATGAACTTAAAATAGTTCAAATTTTGGGTGCAAATATCTCTTCATTAAACTACTTGAAAAATAGAATACTATGTCTCCATTACACCACATAAGTACAGATGTTTGTTTTTTTTTGTTTGTTTCTTTTTATTAATCATGAAAAACAGTTTGTTTCGCAACACTGAATCAATGACATTTCACTCCATGACCACTCAATGATATTTATTCATAATCATTATCACAGATGTTAACAGTTTCTTTAGATATCAAAAATTTCCATCTCACACTTTTAAATAAACAAATGTCAAATTACCTAACCCTAAAAAAATGTAGAATATAATATTTATTTTCTCTAATATCATAATGGTTTAGTTTTTTCCCTTGTAATATTTGTGTTCTAGAAATTGTATATTACCAAACTAATTTTAATATTAACTATGTGTGAGACATACTTTCCATAGCATGTACCGTATTGCAGCAAGGCAAAATACGTAAAGGGTTTTTTGGCATTAATAACTTTGATTTCAAATAGCTAGTGAAATAAAAGGAATTGCGCAGAAAATAAAGCACATAACATTATAGGACACTGTTGATAGGGGACAAAACATGTTTGATGCTTGATTACGGTGCAACACGAGCACATTGAGGAAGAAATTTAACAATGAAACAAGTGAACCGGTTAGGCTAGATAGAAGGTGTAAGTGAACAATTTTAGTCAGAATGATGTCAGATTTAATAGAGTGAGGATCAACGGCAGTCAAGGCATTGTGTAGAAATATTTCTTGATTAGGCAGAACTATGATTTGTTAGAGGAAGCATAAATGGCCTTCAAGGAAGAAATTGAAATATTTTTGTAATTAGTCTGAGTAGATAGAAAATGGACATGTGATCCACATGTAATAGGAGAATAGGAAAGTAATTAAAATGCGATTTATGAGAGAAAATACTCTAATATCTGAGAGATAATTAGGTCGCAAATAAGAGTAGAAATTTATTAGTTGAAATTCAGTGTGGATGTAGGAAAAGCTCCACGTGAAAATATGGAACAGCTGCTGACATCATTGACAATGGTAAGATTGCTGTATATTCTTCAAAAGAGACGTTTAAGCAATAAGTGACAAAAAGACATTTATAAAAATATTATAGCAAGGCCAAGTTATGTTTAGATATTAAGTTAACATTACGATTGAGAAAGAATTGTTATGTGTGTTTGTAAAAATTCGATGGCCATCACACAGAGACAGTAGAGAATATAAAGACACATTGATGTACGCAACGGTAAAGTTAATTAAATAGAAATTTGAAACTTATTGTGGCAGCCGACACATACTATCGCTGGCAATTCATAGAAAAAATTTATGAATTGTTTGATTTATCAGTAACAATAGTGACAAACATTTCCCAACGCTAATTAAACTGTTGATCATCTGAATACTTGAATAACCGGTATTATCAGGCACACAAAGACAAGTATAGTACCGTGAGAAGTGTATTTATGCTGACACCCAGAAATTAAATGAAAACAGAGCTAGCCACTCTATTAAATTAAAAATATTATAAAATTGTAAATATTATTGGAGGACTGAAGATTTACTTCAATAGCAGGACCAATACAAGGCAGTAAAATATAGTAAATAGTTTAAGTAAATTATTAAAAGAGAAAGAGAAATTATTGATTCATTTCAGTATTTACCCGAATATAAGTGGACCTCACATATAAAACAACCCCCTAATTTTGAAGAGGCTTCCTTAAAATTTGACTAGAAAATTGCCTTGTTGAAGAGAACATTAAGAGTTATTGCTATTGCATTAAGAACTATTTCTTGTTCCTTAATATCATCATAATCATGGTTTTTGTCACTACCATCTTCATCTTCACATGAATCATTTTCTGTTTTCCTTTTGGGTCCTCTTTCCATGCTGGAACACTTTCTGACTTATTAGGCCCCCCTCTTGAAAGTTTTGTAGACTAAATTTTGTGATGTTTATAGTCTTTCATCAGATGCCATCTAAGAACATTCCCTTAGGTCGCCTATTTTCTATCTGTCCCGCACTTGTTGAGAACATCTGTTTTTGTTCAAAACGCAGATTCGTATTCGCCGGGCGTAGAACCGAGATTCCGCGCGGGCTCGTCGAACCCGCATCGAGTAACAAACGCTCGACGTTCATTTTCACGGTACGTTTCGTTTGATACAATTCCATTCGGTTTAGAGATTCTTTTTACTGGCCCAATCGGGCTGAAATGCCCGCCAAATTTGCGGTGGATTCCGAGAATACGAACCGAATATAACTACGTATTGTTACGCGCTTTTTAGTCGTCGCATTTTATTGTTACGTCAGCATATCGTGACATGGAATGGCAATATAATAACTTAAATCCTAACCGACTAGGCTTAATCTGGGGATATTAACGCATTTTTCGACTATGATACTTCGAAAAAAAAAAACAGAAAAAAAAACATGTCTTATATTCGCGTAAATACGGTATATTCTTGCGTATTGGGCACCTTTTTCATTTTCCAAACTTCTGAGCTCACCAAAAATCTAATCAGTGACATTTTTATAAGTGTATTCCACCCCACCTAAAAACACTGAAGAAAAAATTGGTGAGTATTTCAGAAAATCTGTTTTAAAATTGCCTTTACTTCACACGAAATAAATGCGAAAACTACTCATATATTGAGGAAATTGTATATGAACTCAGTTAAGGATCTAATATTGAAGAACACATTTCCTTCAGAGAAAATATCTGTCTTCAATAATGAAGTTGTAGGAAGATATCAAACATTTTTTATACTTTTGCAATTTTTGAAAATTCTGAGGCATAAACAAAAATTGAACCTGCACAATTTTTATAAGTGTTCTTTATTCCATCTATGAGAAAAATTGGAAATCGGTTCTGAGAAAATTTTGAAAATGTCCTCGAGGTTTCATGGAAAGAACCATAAAAAAATACTTAACTCTTTCAAATTCAAGGGTCTGCGATATCAGCCAGGCCGATTGGAATATAAATATTGGTGAAAATACTGTCTACCTTTTATCCGCTAGCATTGTTCACACAGTTTTTGACATAAATCAATTTTTCGGTATCAAGTACCAACCAAACGTGGATTCTAACTACACAACGTGTTATAGGATGATATTTACTTCATATAGAAACAAAAATCATTGCTTTTGGTACCAAGGACACACAAAACTTTTTTCTTTTATAAAAAAATATTGTTTTTTGCTGCAGCATTAGAATACTTTCTCTATACTATGTAAATAGTATCAGGGGAGAAAAAAAAGCTGTGGCTATAGAACAAACCCACGAAATATTAATTTGACATCATTAATGTGAATAGTACTACAAATTAGTAACTAGTAATACAAATTAGACCATTATTTTTATCATCTTACAAAGATAGGGGAGAAACGTACCTAGAGTAGTATTTTTCAAAACACAACAAAAACTCTTGAAACAACACATGCAACATCACTATAAGTAACTCTACAAAAAGAATTTTCACTTTGAAACATCCACAACAATAAATTTTCTAAGTATTCCTCCCAAAACTAAGAGCTTACAGTTCAGAATACATTTTTTTTTGTATGTAAAAACACACTATCACCTCCCATATTCATCATGGACTGTTTAAAGCTTCGTGCTTTAAACTTTTTTGCTTTATAGCTCCATGTTTATCTTAATATTAATTTAAAATCTACTTGCAACAATTATTATTCCCATTAAACAAGGTCGACTTTTTTTTTATTTTTTGGTGAAAAACACATTATTAATTCTTATATATTCAGATTTTGTTTTGTACATGTGGAATGACTAGAGTTCATTGCCAGACAGAGGAAAAACAGTTATGTAAATTTTCTTTTTAAAATTTCAAAATCATATCTTTTTATAATAGTTATAAAATTATAGTACATAATTGTAGATTTTCTTCATTAGCCTGTCTAATAATTTCTATCACCTGTTAAAAAAAACTTCAGAAAAATATACAGCATATAAATACATTCATTGAGTTCTCTCAAAAAAAATATTTGTAATGCATTTCCCAGATGCATTTTTCAAATTTTACTAATAGTTTTTTTCCTTTTTATTCTTTCTTTCTCAAACTATACTGGAAGTGGTAAAGAGGCCAAGTTACTTAAAGTTACTTTTATTACAATATGAGCTTGAACAGAAACACTAAAACAATATCAATCACTGAAAGCATTACACACTCTTAAAAAGCTGCATACTTTTAATAATAATAATAATAATAATAATAATAATAATAATAATAATAATAATATTATTATTATGATTATTTGTTACAGAATTTCTCCCCTCAAAGCGCAGAAAAGCCGACACAAGAAAATATTACTTTATTAAAACTTACCGGAATTTTAGATGTTCGTAGAAATTCTAAGAGGGCTTCAAGGGATCCAAGTGTGGATGCTTGAACGTATACACCTCGTTCCTGCAGCTTGATGTTACTCAAGGCATGTTTTAACTCACGAGCAACTTCCTCTCGACAGATTTCTACTTCATCTGGTTTCTGAGCAACCAACAAATTCAAACCTGAAAAAATGCATAACAAAACTCACTTTCCAACACATTACTAAAAATTACAATATTCTAAGAGAAACGGTTATTTGCTGATTTATCTTTGAATGGCTAAAATACAGTCAAATATTTCTAATGACAAAACATTTCTTTCTCTACATCATGATTCCAAATCAAGATTTTTCAAAACTCCTTGTCAACACAAAATAAGAATGTAGCTACTGACATAGAAGTGAGAGGCAATAAACAAATGCACTGGGCAAGTATTGGATTTTTATGACATTCATGATATTTAAATTTCACCATCTGGAAACATTTACTTCTCCACCACTGGTCTTCATGGGAGGAAACCAAGAGAATTATTTTTGTCTACTGAAAGGTGTGGTTTTATATTTTTAATGCTGGCAACTGCAGAGTTTTCTTTTCACTCAGTGCTGAGAATTTCAGTAACATACCATGGGATTATTTAAAAATAAGTGCTTAAAAAATTAGTTAAAATTATGATGATTTATTAATGTTTTAATAGCAGAAAAAATCTGATCTGGATTAACTTTATGTTCATGACATTAATGTTTATATAATTGATATACACTGTTGCTAACTTAATGTATACCATAGTTTAAAGGCATTAAAATACGACCAGGACAGTTTTTCAAACAATGCAGTATTCACAGCAGCTCTGCACCCTTGAAAGAAAGTAGTCATAAAAACCCTTCCTTCTGCATGGGTTAGAGCCCCTTCAGATGTGTGTAGGTGTTGCTAGATAAGCAAATAGAAGATGCTGAGGAGTTTGAAACAACACATTTCAATCTGAATGCTTGTAGGAAAAAATGCCTAGTCTTTTGAAATATTACTAAGACTCAAACAACAAGTTCAAGAAGAATGTCACCAATTGGTTCATGTGTCTGAGTAATGAATGTGTATTAGAGAGGAAAGAGAGAGAATGGAGAATGATTGCCAATTCTTCTAGATTCAAGAAAGAGCAGAGGACCTATTTGACAGAAAAAGTAATGGCATTATTTGAGGATCTGGCAGAGAGTTATTTATGTTAACTCAGAACTCCTGTTAACAGAAATAAAATAAAATATTGAATTCAAGCAGAAGAGAAATAGTGAGATGGTTATCTTCCATCATTTTTTTTAAAGTGTCCTTTGTTTTCAGAATAGTAAATTTGGTTTAAAGAAAATTAATGCAATCAATTAAACAGGTGGCAATGTGCTGAGGAAAATGATGGCACAAGTGTTTGAAACAAGTGTAATAAAAATATTAATCAAAATGAGGAGAAAATATTGAATATCACGAGTAAAAGACTGGCATTTCTGAGAAATTTTATGGAATTGTTAAAAATAGACTAACCAAAAAGATATTTGAATATCTCAGTAACAGAAGACTACTCAACATGTATAAGAAAGCCTGGAAAGACCTTAAATAACTTTTGTTATTTATTAGAATGGGTATAACAAAATAATAATTAAACCAAGACAGTAATACTGATTAACTTTT